CGATGTTGTTCTATGCTCGGGCCTGCCGCAGGCAGATGGTGAAGGTTCTTGGCCTCTGTGTTTGTGACGATGATATACGCGGCCTTGTCGAAGAGCTCCACAGTTGTAATGAGAGTGTCTACGACTTGAGTCAATGCGTTGGACAATGTTGGACACGACCTTAAGATGTAGTGTTCGACGGCCTAAAAGCCCATCGGTATGCTCGACGTGGATGCCAAGCGTTGGAACTCGATAATCCAATCCCCGCTCGGCAGCGTGTTCTGGTGGAACTTGATCAAGTTGTCCATTGCTTGCATTTCCGGTGGATCTATTTCGAACCGCTTATGCCACGCTGCCTTCAGATCAGCCTAGCTGATCTTGGTATGCAGGTCTGAAGCCGCCACCCATGAGTGGACAAGAGATTATCCAACCAAGCTTGGCACGCGCCCCTCGACCAGGAGACAAATACGCATGTTTCTTGTCTTCCCTGGTGTGGTGGAGCTCTAACTTGAGCTCGAACTGTCGGAAACATGGAATTGGGTCCATCCTTGTAGAGTCGCAGAAGTTCTCTTGTCCATCGAACTTCGGAATAGTCTCGCATGTAGACGTGCTCGGGCGACCGGCAGCAGAGCAGATCCGCGCGCCGTCCGTGAGCATTCCGACGTGGATTTCCAATGCGTCGTAACGATTGGCGGTGTTGGAGGAGCTGGCGACCGGGGTGGTGATGCGTCGTTGCTCCAACTGCTTTAGGCGGTTGTTAACTTGCTTGACCTCGTTGTCGAGGCTATGGATGTCCTCCTGTTGTGCAATGCACGTTGCCAGGAGGTCCGTGAGGTGGGAAAGCAACAACGAGATCCTGAGTCCGCTGTCACTGAGTTCGCCACCTTTGACCTCGGTCCGCCATTCCATTGCCATAGTGAGTGAGGCTCTCTCCTCCCCGAATACCTTTTCGCGTCGCATGCTGAGTTCTTCATCGACAGCCTTTGCTGCTGGCTCGTCGTGCTGGCGCTGTCGTTCCACCGCCAGCAGACGGGCTTTCTCTACATCCTCGGCTTTCTTCTTCTCTGCGGCTGCTACTGAATCCAACCGTTGCTTGGCTTCGGCAATCAAAGTCTGCATTCACGCCTGATAGGCCTCGGCTGTTTCCCTTGCTGGGGAACTGCTGAGAGAGAGAGAGAGAGAGAGAGAGAGAGAGAGAGAGAGAGAGAGAGAGAGAGAGAGAGAGAGAGAGAGAGAGAGAGAGAGAGAGAGAGAGATTTGCCACAGCGGCGGCTGTTTGAACGCACCATCGTGCTGCCCAACGGCGCGTTCAAACAGTCGCCGCCATTTGCCCATGTTTCTGGCAGCCCTCCAGAACAAAATATCCCAGAGGAAAAAACTATGGGGTCGGGACTTCTTTTTTCGGGACTTTCTGTTCTGGGCGAGTGCCAGGCGGCTGTGCCCAGATAGGTTGGCACACCCCATGAACTGTTGAAATTCAGAGCCAAGTTCGAAGACACACAGGATCTGATCTGCGGCGTCAAAATGAAAAAGAAGGGGATCTCACCGCACCACTACAGCAAAAGGGCCCAGCAACTGGCAAAATGCTCGGTCTTTGCGTTAGCCGGACCCCCTCACCGGTGGCCCTGCCCTACTCCCTGACCACCGTCGATTAGGGCGGGGGCAACATGCATCCCCTTAATTGTGGGAGGTAGTTGTGCTTGCAGGGGTCCCCAGTATAGGCTTATGAGTAGTGGTATGTAGATAGTGAAAGGTGAAATTGAGAGAAGAATATAGCTTATGCAAGGAATTTGAGCAAAAGCGAAACGACAGATTTCCAGATTACAAAATCACATTGAAATCCATCCAGGAAGTACCACGCTGTCCGGAAAGCAGAATTGCACCAATAATACACCAATGGAGAACCAAAGCACTGAATCCAAGCGTCAATGAGAGCGCGCTCTCGCCATCACCAACATAAGTATCCAAGCCCTTTCCCCTACTTGGCGCTCAGCGCCCAGACTACTAACACACAGCTACTCCCAGCCTACGAATTGACAATGCAACTGTTGACGTCAGCAGCACCAAAGTACATGAAGATGTTGCCTCTTGCAGACTATCGCCAAGACCAGGTATGCGCCCTCACGTCATCATCTTCCTCTCTCTCTCTCTCTCTCTCTCTCTCTCTCTCTCTCTCTCTCTCTCTCTCTCTCTCTCTCTCTCTCTCTCTCTCTCTCTCTTGTTCTTTCACCCATGTCTTCTCCCTCACGTGAGAAGACCACCACTACCCCTTGCTGTTGACCCAAGCCTGGCCGGCTATGGGGGTCGAGCTATGGCGCTGCCCTCAGCAGCGCCCTTCACACACGACCACACGTGCATGAGCACCTTGCCTAGCGTAGCCTACACGTGAGTGCAGACTCAAGCAGCGCTGCCGCACGAATGGCAAGTGCCCAAATGAACGGCCAGGCAGCGAGCTCTTTCCTATATGGAAAGAGTCTGGCCTGTGCGCTGCCTGGCTGTGCAGGGCCTGTGCCCAGAAGCTTCCGGTAGGCCCCAGGTAGCTTAGCCTCTGCTGCTACTGCCCTCGTCCCCGATTAGTTACGCCTCCCAACTGCTTGTCATGTATACTGCTGCCGATGCGGCCCAGGGCCTGCTACGAAGAAGGGCCTAGAAGGCCAACACAAAGTGTGGCTGGCCGTGGACTGGGTTCCTTCAACCAACTGATGCAACGCAACTGCCTGAACCCCAAATGTGAAATCGACAACAATGGGCCTCTCGATTTGATCAGACCCGCCTTCACTTAGGGCGGGCACACTTTTGCAATTGGGGCCCCTAAGGCCTGCTGAGGAGCCTGATCCTCACACTTAGTTGAAAAAAAAAAGAAAAAAAGAATTGTGGTGCTGTACGTTCCCTGTTCTTGGGGAAGGTTCATTCTCATTTTGCACATTCGGTGAGCATGCAGCAAGGCTTGCCGACGCAAATCCCAAAAGAGTCAAAAAAACAGGAAGGCAAAAAACGACGAAACAAAAGACCAAACGAAACAGCCTTCACATACCCGGCCTCACCGAACCACTGAACAAAAAATTACAAATGAACCTTCCCTGAGAAGGCCCAGCATACACCGACAATTTATTTTTTTTGTTTCCTATCGGCTCCAAGGTGAGCCTTGGCCCATACATTTTCTAACTTTTCTTTTCCCATTCTCTTTCGGCCGGTGGAAATGTCGCATGCGGCCAGTTACGGCACATTCCAAGTCGTGTTTTTCGGCACACCGTTCATAGATGCCGGAAAACGTGCAGCTTATTGGACGGCCCATCTCACAGAGATGGGCACAATCCCGTCTTGGCAGGTCACGACATAGCATTACACCCGACCTGCATTACACCCGACATCCATTACACCCAACTTGAAGAACTTTAATAAAAGGTAGAAGATGGACATGAGGTGGAACTTGGTGGAGGTGAAAGAAAAGCTGGGGGTTGAAGAAAAACCTCCACGGCTATGGAGGCTGCCTTCAGGGAAGAAGAAGGGTTTGGTGATGGTAGTTGAGAGATCAGTGCCCACAGGGGGCACATAGAAGAAGAGGACGGCTTCACTTGACCAGGGGAGCAAGAATAAGGGAGAAACCATGTCTTTGGCTACTATACGTGAAACAACTGCATTCAGGTAGTTGGTATAGCAATGGGCCTTGAAACAAGTTGATGAAGTCCATGCTCTTTAGAGATATCTGGAGTGCTACGAGTGCATGTGTGCTGCTACAGCAAGAAAACCCTTTTAAGGATGTGCTAAGTGGAGAATTCAGCCAAGAGTTTGGCACTGGAGAAGAAGAGAGGGGAAGCTTCACCTCTCTTCTGTTGTTTCCGATGATCTACCTGGGAGGTGTTGACGACATGCGGAACACCTGGAGGCTTTGATTTCTCTAAATACTGCTACCAAGGGGGAAGTTTGGGGAAGTCGACCTGGAGGAGGGAGTTTATTTTACTTCTCAAGACCAACTGCTACCTTCTCCCAAACACAACACACCCTCGTCATGACTGTACCAGACCAGAGGTATACATTCATGATGAGGGTGCATTGTGTTCACAGGAAGATTGGAGAGAGATCCATGTAGATCTGTTTCGCTATTCATTCTTTTCTCTTTTATGAACCATGCAACCAGACTGCGGACGGACAAAAGCAGGGGGACAACGTGCGGCTGAAATCCAGGAAACCACATCAGCAACAACATGCGGACTGCAGACAGGAACGCTGGATGGCAGCAACAGATTGAATACGCTGGATTGGCAGCGAAGAGTTGGAGAGCGCCGCCTTGGGCAAAGAAAGCAAAGCGAGAGCATAGCTACGATAGGCAAGGCGTGAGATTATTAGGAATAGACCTGGTCGGACCGTAGGGAGCAGGGGAGGCCGGGCAAAGGATGGGCTTAGAACAGTCGTGGGGCACGAGACTTAGACTAGCAGCAGGGCACGGGACTGGCAGTGGACAAAGAATCAAGAGTATAGGGAACACGGCGAACCCTGCTAACCGTACCCGGATGATGGCCCCGGAATCTGTCTTTGTAATGGGACGCTGGACCCATTTCCAGCAGGTGAAGCTCCCCATCAATAGACAGGAGCAGCCGGAGGGACTCTGCTAGCGGGGCGTGCTCCTATCTCCCCCCCGGCAGAGCCCTGTGTGCAAGTGTGTGGTTCAAAAAAAAAAAAAGACAAGGAGATGCAAGGGAGGTGATCAAGGTGACGGGATAGGGAGAAGGCGAATTACCAGGTCGATTCCACTTTTTCTTTTTTCCTACTTCAACTTCTTCACCTCATTCTCTTCTCTATCCTCATTTCTCCTTGCGGCGAGTCTTGTTCTTGGCCCAGATTCCGGTTTCGCATCACGGTTGAACTTCTGAACATAGTGAACTATTTAGTTGTCTCATTGCACTTTTCCATGCACCACCACGCCCCTCCCCTAATTGGCCCGAAGGGGCCAAGGAACAGCACGGCAAACCACTACACCCGCAGACTGCATGCATGTGTTAAAGCAAAAAGAAAAGATTTACCTGCCCCGCTAGCCTTGAATCAAACACCTGAACCGAGCCACACAAGCTGTAGTGTGTCACCTTGATATCTGGCAGCACGTCCAGGTTAGGCAACACCTGCACAGCCAACACTTCGAGATGAGCTCCCTCTCTCTCTCTCTCTCACACACACACACATACACACACACAAAACCTCCTGACGAGTCTGGGAAGCCCGACGAAACAGTCCATCACAGTCATATGCTCTTTTTTGTGGAAACATGACCACACACACACACACACACACACACACACACACACACAAAAAAAAAAAAAAAAACACACACACACACACACACACACCCCCCCCCACACACACACAAAAAAAAAAAAAAAAAAAAAACAAACAGATACAGATGCCCAACCCTAAAAACATGCCCAGTCATCTGAAGACTTCTAAATCTTGGTCCAGAAGTTGTCCGGACTGGCCCAATCTATGGTCCACCATAGCCACTGCACTATTCTGATGGAGGAGTTATCCCAAACACAAGATTTCCCAGGCCAAATCACTGCAGCAATTCTCTTTGAAGACCAGAAAAGACATTGGCGCACAATCACAGAAAAATCCGAAAAAAGGAAAAACATTTAAAACAACAAATTTGCAAATTTCTGATAATTTGATGAAAGGTGATTGAAAGCATCAATGCCAAGCATGCCTCATCAATCCTTTCAAATTTCCCCCAGATGCGCGTGAGACCAGGTAACCAGCCTACAAAGTGCAGCGATCAGTTGTCAGAATTGACACAGTGATCACTGCCACTTAAATCCTTTCAAATTCCCCCCAAATGCGTGTGAAACCAGGTGACCAGCCTACAAAGTGCAGCGATCAGTTGTCCAAATTGACATAACAGATACCTACAAATCAGTAATCTCCTTGCATAACCTCTGGCACAAGAAAGCAAAAGAAGTAACAGGATTGAACGAGCTGAGTCCTCTCCGACACACTCACCATGAACTTCTGCAGTGAGCTGAACTTGTAGGTGCCCTTTCGTGCCTCGATTGTGTAGCGAGCAGATGTCACCTGCATAACATGAAGAAGTGCCATTTACACTCAATGACTCAGAATACCTCTGAATCCATTGTGTCTGCATGTGTGTCTCAGATTTCCACCACAACAGCCCCTGTTCCACCCAGATGAGTAGATAAAAAATCTATGCAGCTTCACCTCTGTTGCAAACAATGAAACAGTTTCAATGCTATACAAGCAACATGGAGCCAAAAAGATCCGCTATACCCCTTTCTTGACTATATTCACTCTAGGCTTTCTTTGGGTTGTGTCCCTAACATCATGGGTGAAATTATACAAGAGCAAGGTTTGTACAGTGTAACGACCTGCCAAAACACAGACTGAGAACACTGCTGATTTCTGAGACTCCCACTGGAATGAATGCCTTGCTGAGATTTCCTGCGTTCTGCTGAGTTTTCTAACTCCGTGTGTTTCAGATTTTCCCCACAACAGCCCCAATTCCACCCACGTGAATAGATTCAGAATCAAAGCAGTCTTTGTCCTATTGCAGACAACGAGAGCATTTGAGATGTCCTGTGATGACCCGTCCATACATGGACTGAAACACACAACTGATTTCTGAGTTTTGCCCATGGACTGAATGCCCTGCTGAGTTTCCCGCTTGCTACTAAGTCTGTGTGTGCACACTTGCTGGACTGCATGTCTGTCTGAGTGCTGGATGGCTTGAGTGTGTGTGTGACCATGCCTGTCTGAGTGTTGGTTGGCTTGGGTGTGTGTGACCGTGCCTGTCTGAGTGCTGGTTGGCATGAGTATGTGTGTGGCCCGTCAGGGAACTTGCTCGTTCGTTGGGCCCTCAGGGCTGGTACTTACCTGTGGCCGTGACATTGAGGGGTTGCAGCGGGGAAAAACACTCAAGGGGTGGATGTGCAGGTACCGGAGGCCGAGCAGAAGAAGACAAAAGTGGCATTTTTAGACGCCCAGTAGTTGTAGGTTAGGTCTAGGCGCTCCTCCCCCTTCCTTCCTTCTTCCTCCCTCATGTCCTTCTCCTTCTTCCCCAGCAGCGCTGCTCCAGCATAGCGCTGCTGCTCCAGCCAGCGCTCCACCAGTGTGTCGCCAAACTTGCACACCGAAAAAGAGGCCGGACTCTCCGCCCGGCCCGAAGATATAGCGGCCTGCTTTGCCTCCTGGGCGGTGACTTCCAGGCCGCTCGGCCTCCCAAGCAACCGGTACCTCCTCCCTTTCGAAGGGAAACATCTTTGCAGACTCTGATATTGCCCGTACAGGCCCTAGACCCAGACTGGTTGGACTGATGGGTACTTACCTGGCTATGGTGGCAGCCATCTTCTTCACCTTGGTGGGCGCTGCAGCAGAAAGTCCCCAACTGGGGAGAGCCACACCAAGAAGCTTCAGGGCAGGGTTGGGCATGGCGGCCTGAGCTAGAGCAGCCATAGCTGCTTTGGGTTGTCCTTTGGGCATCTGGGCAAGGCCTAGTAGTCTGCCACAGCCTCGGCCTATGAGAGTGAAGAGTGGGGACATGGCCATGGCTATGGTGGACCTCAAGTGATACCTGCAGTAGAAGAGGGACTCGGACATTGATTCTGGATCAGCCATTCAACATTGTATTATTATTTCTTGTATAAATAAGAGACGGGGGAGATAAGGAGGAGGAGATTGATGGGCGAAGAAGAAGAGCCTTGTCATTTGTCCATGCTGATGTACATCATCTTCTTCTTCTTTCTTACTTCTTCTTCTTCTAATCCTCTCTCTCCTATCAAGTTCATTCATTTCTTTCTGCAATTGGACGGCATTGTACTTTCTGATGGATGTGTATCTCGAAATTGTCCAGGGTCATAACATGTCCAACATATTAAAGCAATTTTATAATTAGACAGTTTTTTGGTTGACCTTATTGTTCTTGCAACTCCCCTTTTACTGTGCCTCTTACGCACAAGGCTGCCCACGTTGATTGTGGTTGAGCGGCAGCTGCCCACATCCCCGTGTGCCTTCACGGCCCACTTGCACGTTATTTCAGCAGGCAGAGTAAAAGGGAAGGTATGCTCCTGTGCATCTCTTCAGAGCTTCATACTCCTGTTCATTTCACTTCAGATCTTCAGCTTATACAGTCTTTGTGTCCGTCCTTCATCTTCATACTTCCATCTGTTCATTTCACTTCAGATCTTCAGCTTATACAGTCTTTGTGTCCGTCCTTCATCTTCATACTTCCATTCATGTCATTTCTGATCTTCATATCGTCTACACTTTTAATAATGCTCATTCGTATGTATTTGTTAGTAGTACAAGGGGAGTGGAGGGGAGGATGGAGGGTAAGGGGTAGAAGGCGGAGTTCTCTAGGAGTACAAGGCAGGGGAGGTAGGGGCAACCGGAGGGCAGCATAGAGTATGACATGCAAAGAGCAGGGGACAGATGTATGACAGGTTTCACAGATTTCTAAATATTCACCGCTGAAGCATGCACATCCATGCGCTCCCACCCCGAAAATAGGGGGGCGTCAGAATCTTTGGGGAGGGGCGAGGTGTGATGGCAAACCCCGCCCCTTTCCCACGAAAAATAGGACAGTGCAAGGATTATGAGCGGGAGCAATAGACAGAAAGCCAAGTTGCAAAATCACGAAGAAGCTCAGATAGTCGAATACCAAGAAGAGAGCACAATACACCAAGATACCATTCGGATAAGAGCAATAAAATGAACTTTGATGTCAATGTCACCACACGCTGGTCACACCAACATAGTATCCACTGTCTCTCCTACTGTGTGGCGCCCGACGCCCAGCCTACTCTACTCCGCCTATCTAGCCTGTCTACATTCTTGCAGCCAGATCAACTCGCTCATGAAGACCAATGTATATTGACGTAATCTGCAATGCCAACCGCCAGCATACATCACATATGTGCTCTCTCTCCTCCCCTCACCACCTCGTCTCCCCTCCTCTTCGTGTGCCTCCTACCCAAAGATCACCATGACCACCTTTGCGCACCCGCACGCTCGGCCCAGCTATGGCTGCCATGCGCCCACTGCCACCGCAATGCCCTCACCTCTCAGCGCTCGCGCACGCCCCAGCCTGCCCGCATTGCGTACACAAGCCAGAATGCCCCAGCGCTGGGGCAGACACTTGCCTTCATGGAAAGTGTGCCCGTGTCTGGCTGGCCTGGACAGGGGTGTAGGGGGGGGGCAATAGCTTGCCTCTGGCCCCAACTGTCTGCGCCCAGGCCCAGTTTCCGATACTGGCCTGGGCCCCATGCAGTTAGGCACGTTTGGGCAGCCATGCAGCTTCCAAGTGTTCGCAGCATTCCCATTGGCTCTTTTGATTCTTGTGTGACGGTAATGCTGCTTTCACATTGGCCTGCGGCCAGTCCGTGATGTGTCGGCCTCACACAGTGTGTGCCAAGGGCGCAACCACCTGAGCCCTGGGCTCACTGTACAGCGCAGCCCTGGCTTCAGGAAGGATCCTGGAGGCTGACATTGCTCTGTAAGCAACTGGCGTGCTGCAACTGTCTGAATCCCCACGTACGAAAAAATGTCGAAAACAGCTAGGCTGGTCCCCGGGCCGCCCGGGCGCCTAGTCGTCTACGTGGAGGGAGAGGGGGGAATGGGCCGCCTGGCCGGTTGTCGAGTCCGGTTGGCCACCGGGCGCCCCCAGCGCATCACTGTAGGTTTTGTTTTCTTTTCTTCTTCCAGCGCTGAGGGCCTTTTTGCCCCTAGATCACCAAAAAACAAAAAAAACGGGGCCGGTAGGCCCGATTTCACCGATTTGAAATTGGGCCTGATCTGGATCGCCGATCTCAAAGATCGACAACCCAGATGGCCGCGATTTCAAATCGGCGTGGGCGGGAATAATCGGCCCCCGTTCCCTCCCCCATACTCACGCTGTACCTCCGAGGTCCTCCCGTTCCCTGCCCTGCAGTTGTGTCACTCCGCCGGACTTCGATGCGCAACTTGGAAGAACCCCGGCAACGCCCACCATCGACAAGGCAAGGGACTTAGTTGGGGAGAGAGAGAGAGAGAGAGAGAGAGAGAGAGAGAGAGAGAGAGAGAGAGAGAGAGAGAGAGAGAGAGAGAGAGAGACAGCCCTCCCCCCAGCATCCCCCCCCACCCCCCGACATCACACGTGGTTAACGGGGTTGCGGAGACAGCCCTCCCCCCAGCATCCCCCCCTGGAGCGTGCGCTTGCACCCTGCTTGCTGTGCGCTAGTGGATGCCGGGCGCTCCTGAGCGTCAAGGAAGAAGGCAGGGCGCTGCCGAGGGCAGCACCATAGCCAGTCTGGAATAGCCAGGGCTTGGCTTGGATAGCCAGCGGAGGTGCAGATGATGGTTGTCTTCGTGTATGGGGAAAAAGACGTGGGGAGAGAGAGAGAGAGAGAGAGAGAGAGAGAGAGAGAGAGAGAGAGAGAGAGAGAGAGAGAGAGAGAGAGAGA